GGCGATGAATTCTTCCTCAAAGCCAATAGCTTTGCTTTCACTTTTTCGGTAGTGAATGATACGTTGGTTAGTGATGATGCATCCAGCAAGGGAGGTACAGTCGTTCGTTAGTTGACGCACATAATTAAAAAAAACATGTCCAGTTGGTACACTACAAATTCTGATAAGTGTTGCAGCGCGAATCTGGCTAGTATTGCGATATCGTGAAGGAGTCAAATTTCGCATAACTGTGCACAATTTTTTTTCGTATTCGAGTCAGGTGACCCAAAAGTGTGATCATTTGCTTACATTGCTACATTTTAACGAAAGGGGTTCGCGTAAACAGTTGCCGGTGTGCATCACTGACCCTGAAGGCGGCGCGTGTTTGGAAGAAAAGTTGCATAACAGAGGGTTACCTAAAGTATGACACAACCTGAATGATTGAAGTTCTGACATGCAAAAAGAAGATTACCGCAATTAGTTTGAGGTATCGTCATGCCTTTGAGCAATTCCAAAGCATGAGTCGGAAAGTCAGTATATTAGAATCTTGTTTAGACGATTTTGGTTTATGAAGTTCAAAATCTTCATGATTGAGCCGTATATTATGGAGGTTCGTGAAAGAATAAGTAAGATTTGTCACTCGAATTCATTCGCACCTTATTAAATATTTAGAAAAAGTGCATCAGTGTGATGGATTAACTGCTGAGTATATTTTCACAGTATAGTCCCACAATTGATCCTCGATGAGATCAAAGGATATTCACTGCTTCCGATACCCAACAAGACTGAGTAAACCGTGAAGCTATTCCCAGATTTGCACTTCGTTTTTTGCTCTACGTTTGATGAGTTTCAATGGGTAGATAGTACAGAGTATTTTTACCGGGTGAAGTAGCCCAGTAGAACATGTCTAAGTAGTCTAATCGTGGGTCTTCAATTCTACCAAAATGTTTGTTGTAATACGAAGCAGATTAGTATATATGGTACTCTGGTCCATCGATTGGTGCTGAAAAAGACAGCCCCAATGGTTACCTGACTGAGTTATAAACAAAAGCTTTGATACTATCTATAGAGCATTAGTGATATGATTTAATTAAGCTCTTGGAAGGTCTCCGCAAAAGCACTTTGTCTGTCAGTCAACCGGGATATTCGGTTGGTATGTAAGCAAAAACTTATTCTGTATGACGAATCCGCTGTGTAAGTAAAGCGTGGAAAGGAAAGCTAGGAAGCACTGGACAACCGTTTTGACCTCGTTGGGTCCCATCCGCATTGTGAATCCATCAACCCAACTGAGGATCGAACTCGGGACTCGACGAGCAGAACCAATGGGAAGCCCATCAGACCTTTTTCATCAGTAATATACACCATCTAGCCCAATCCATCTTTGCGAACTTAATGCGGGTATAACACGGTGCACATCCCAGCACTAGCCTCAAGGGTTATGACTCGATTGGAAACTTTTACAACCTGCTTACATGTTGTGTGAGGGTAGTATGGGGACTCGATCCCCAGTTAAGTCGATGGATTCGCACTGCTGACGAGATTCAATCAGGTCGATACAGCTGTCGAGTGCTTCCTAGCTCCACAGCTCGTGCTGCATTTACACGACGAAGTCGATACATAATCAAATCAAATCCTCCACAACTCGCACGGCACAATCACTTGTTCAACAAATTTGCCGAAAGCAGTGGAACTAAAGCTTGCGACGGCAACTCCAAAAATGTCTTAAGAGTGCGAAAACTGTAAGGTGAGGAAGTTCTCCTTAGATGATTCAGTGGAAAGGGAGACTGTTCACTTGATATTTAATATCGGAGGTCGATATATCCCGTTTGGAGAAAATTGTGTAGATATCTTATCGAAAGGTACAATAGTTTGCTTATGGATTTCACTATTACTTCAAAGAACAGCATAGCCGATAAACCTGGTTGTTTCAGTTCTGGAAACTTAAATACTGAGGGCGATATCGAACGGATTATAGCAAACCTAGTTATACTGACAAGATAACAGGGTCGATGTATCTGGCAGTCGAAATTCATTGTGAATACAATATGATAGAACTTCCGGATACTCAATATAAATGTAGGCGGACCACCAACAAACAGACGCAACGACACAAATGCGGGCAAACGTTTTTAACTCTGATGGACACGTGACTATGCTCACATCCTTCGGGAATATCAAAATTAATTTATGACTGTCCATAAATTGTTCACTCACTGCAGTTTACGCACTGACCGTCACTTCTCTCTCGACGAAACTCAAGATGAACTGTATTTATACCAAAATCAAAGCCAGTGTAACCGCTGGAATCATTCCATGTCAAACGTTCTTACTGGGATCATATTCTAAGGATGAATTTACGACGGCTTCGTGCACACGGGCCCAACATTGGGCACGACCGTTCGGGGTCATTAGGTCAGTCGGTTACAGAATCGAGGAATGCGATCAAGTACGTATTAGTGTGTACGTATACGTACGTATAACGTTTTAATTAAATTTTTCAATGCGATTTTTCCTTCACTTCTTTTGTTGCTCTGAGATCGTATTTCCTTCGTTTATATCGAATAAAAAATATTTCAATCACATCTGATTTATTCAAGCATGTCATCCATATGTTAAACCAGATTGTTTTATTACACTGTTCATCAATCTCAGGGAAACAAACCATCATGAGGAGACAAAATCGATCGGCTCTCATTGCGCAAACTGCGATACCTGAATGGTTTCATAACATGATAGAGTGAAACTCCTCGAAACAGTAGGTGGAATAACAATAGATCAGAATGAAACACGTGATGTAGGGGAAAACATTGATTCTCTTTTAACTCAATGGGAATAACCAAACAACCTATTATTTTTCGTTTTTTTGGATAATAAAAAAACACTTACCACCATAGTGTGCAGTTCTCAGTTTGGGGGCATCCGGGAAAAGAAATGGTTTATTGTGACACAGCTGATCAGCAGGGCGTGTACTGCGATTGCCGACTAGTTTATGGTGCTTGGTTCTCTCAAACGTTTCGTTGCTATTTTGCAGTTTTGTTCTGTTTGTTCAAACTCCAACTACCCACAACTTTCAAATTTGGTCGGTGTAACGGCATTGAAACTGAAATGGTCGGGGATGCGTAAAGTACTAATAATTGTTTTACCTTCCCTATTCCTTTCAGGCGCACAATGGTTGAATACGGTGGTCACTGAACAAATAGAACAAATAGAAGTGTCAAGAAATACATGAGAACTCATGATCGATACGAACCGTGTGTGCCCCCCACCCCAAATACAGCTTGTACATTGCTTTTTACCATTCGTTCCGAGCTACAATATACGTTCGTGTGTCTGCCACTCTCATTTCCCTCGAGTCCCCATACGCGCTGCGTAATTTCTGCACCCACGTCACACTGGATGCAATCGTTTTCACATTGGTGTATTTATCTTTCAACACAACCAATCAGAATAATTTTCCGTTAGCAATCGCGTCATGATTGCCTGCGCCTGGTTAACTGGGAAATTATTAGATGGCTTATTATAAGAAAACAACAGACGATAAAGCTCAATTAACCTTAAAATCGTTGTATGACTAGATCTGTTCTATACTGTTGTGCAACGAACACCAGGACTGGATCCCATGGATAGGAGGAACTAATCTTTTGTTATTTAAAATGACAGGACTGGTTATAGGAAACCAAATAAGGCCCCCAATAGAATAGCGGAGCTATTAATCCGTCCGAGAGGAAATTTAATACAAAATCGATTGGTTCTAGTAGAGTTTGAACCTTGAACTTTTAAGTCAGGGGTAAGCTAATGGGAACCATTTAACCCATGTAATCAACACCCCAGAATGATTGGACAGCCGCGAAGTATCATATCACATATCAAGACAAGTATATAGATATCTTCGGGGACAGACAAAAGAAAACAAATGATACATCACTTACCGGATTATGTGTTCAATTAAAATTGTCATGACTTCGGTAACGGCCTCAGCCAAAGCGATGAACGGTTGAGTTTTTTCCAATCGGGTTCCCGAGACTAAACCAAGAACCAAGCTAGACATTAGAATACCTAAGCAAGGGAAAATGGAGGAGAAAATTTATTGAGTAAATGGAAATCAGGAGTTTTTCTGTCTGCAATTCCGTATGATTTTACCGGAAGCGGTGAAACACTGAAATCACGTTTTTTTCAGGGATTTGCACATCTGCACTCAAAATTCGATCATTAGACCTACTCCTCTAGTGAGAGTGGGTGGATATTTTTGCCGGATTGGTCAAAGCGATGAGAGTACCCAAAGTAATCATCGTGTGATATCACTTTCTTGGATATATACCCTACGTGTATCACGTTTCCGCCGTTCAGAGCGAATTCCCCATCTTATTCACGCGCGATAGCTTGTTCAAGTTTCCACGCAGTATCTTCTTTGTGATATCATTTTGAAGAAAATTCTACGCTCTATCCAACGAAATTCTATTAATTTCTGTGTGGTCATTTCTAAGAGAGCTACGGATATAAATTGTGGTATTCAATTCTGTTCCGTTCTCCACCGTGTCTGCACGTGTGTCCTTCCCTCCATCTCCGGTTGCAACGATCGATATGCACCGGTTGCCCCCGGTCATTGTCTTCCGGTGTTATCGAAAATCATGGAGTCAGTTGTGGCAGATTCTCTGATGGAACACCTCGAAAGTTAAACATTCTTTCGACAGCTCAACACCGGTTTAAGCAAAAGCGATCCTGCTCCACCAACCTGCTTCTCGTTCGAGACGAATGGACCAAAACAGCCAACGAAGGGGATGCGTTGGATGCAATTTATCTTGACTTCTCAAAAGCATTTGATCGGGTGAATCACAAAATTTTGCTGCAGAAGCTCTACAATTATGACGTTCGAGATTTCGCGTTTGATTGGATTAAAGCAGTCCTCGAACAACGGACCATATCAGTTCGTGTTTCTGATTCAATATCCGGATCTATCAAAGCCACCCGCGGTGTTCCACAAGGGTCCGTACTCGGTTCCCGTCTGTTCCTCGCATTCATAAACAATCTACCGAAAGTGTTGGGCCCAAAAACAATACTGTTTGCAGACGACGCCAAAATCTAGAACACAGTAACAGAACCCGAGGGCTCTCTAACACTTCAGGAATTAATAAACGCAGCTCATCAATGGTCTACTGAGAGCGACATTGCATTTAATGTTTCTAAATGCAAAGTCCTATCGCTACGCCACAAGAAAAAATTCTCCTATTTCCTCGGGGGTCAGCAGCTACCACACATTTCAAGTGAAAAGAACTTAGGCATTGTTGCCCAAGAGGATTTAAGCTGCTCCATCAATTGTGCTAAGGCTTCGTCCGCTGCTGTGAAGAATGTCGGCTTACTTCGGCGAGTCTTTGGCCGGTTTGAATCATCACTATTCCCACGTTTGCTGTTAGCG